ATATGCAAAGATGTCCCTTCACTCATCAATCCATCAATCTAAGTTCCTAGAAAATTCAAAATACCTATCTAGCCCTCTTATAATCAAATGTAATAAAAATGAGTTCCAAATATTTTGCTGCTTGTAATAAAGCCATTGCACATAACACATTATTCAATGAAGTGCAAGTCCAACCACACCAAATCAAACAACCAAATGCTGGAATCTATTTGTTCTGGAATTGTAATTTTATGCAAGGGAAAAAGAGTACAAGTATATTATCTGTCAATTGTAGTTAACTGAAAATTCTAACACGAGGGATCAAAGGAATTTCTACAATAACTGGACAAATTCTTATAATTGTCTAAACCTCATGGGAGGTTAGTATAATCTAGCCAAAATTCAAATATGTGGAAACAACTTTACTAACCGACAAAACTATAAAATATAAAAACTGAAATATATAATATGACCTAATGGCCGATATATAAAAAAATAATGAATTAACAAAATATTCAAATAATGAAAACCAAAAAAATTCCCAAACGTAACAATAATAAACTCAGTCAAATATCCTATTACTCCGAGCTTACTCTAAGATGAGTTTTGGCCTCTCTTCTTTCTGAAAACAAATGTAATAAATAAATAAAAATAATAATCAAATCCCCTAGTTAACAGAAGCATTTAAAAAGGTACGGTTAATTAATTAAACAATCAGGAAAGCCAATGGATTAAATCTTGGTTCAATAAACAAGCCAATAAAAAAAATTCATATAAAGAATTCAATTTCCAAAACAATGGCTTTAATTGGATTTACAAAAAGAGAAAAAATTCACATACAAAGAAAGATGAACATTGGCTGCTGAAGTTATATATATATTATATGTATCTAGAGCATATACACCAAAGAGAGAGAGCAGCAGACGAAACTGTTACACAGAGAGAGCATCGAGAGAGAGAGAGCATCGAGAGAGAGACTAACAGCGGTGGTGGTGAGCCGATCGGCACAGTAGCGGGGGTGAGGAAATGAGAGGCTAACGATCGGCAGCAAGGGAAGGAGAAACCAATGGCAGTGGTGAGGAAAGGCTGTCGGCGGTGAGCCGATTGGCACACCGACGATGTGTGTGAATCGATGAAATGTTAGCAGCGGTAGTGAGGAAACTCAATCCCATGAATGAGCATATGGTGTGTGTGTGTGTGTGTGTGTGAAATTAGGTTTGATGGAGAAATTATTGTGTGCGTGTGTGAGAGAGATTTGTCTGTATAACCAAGCATAACAGGATTTTTTTTTTTTTTTTATTACGAAGAACAGATATGCTTCCATAGGCGCCAATATATTTTCATCTCCCTCTAAAATATTTAGCAACTAAATCATTTATTGATAACAAAATTATTTCTTCACCAAAGATAAAAATATTGGCCACAAAAATAGTTTTGTCACTAAATGATATTAAAATATTAAAAATTATTGGTGACAAAAATATATTCATCATTAATAATTTTATAATTAGTGACCAATTGTTTCGTCACCAAAAGTCTCAAAATTTTGGTGCCCTCCGAAAAAATAGCGGGAAAATCTTCGGCGATAAAAAAATATAAATAATGACGAAAAATAATTTCGTCACCTAATTTTTTTATTATATGTTTAGATTAGTGACGAAATTTTATTTTTGTCTCTAAAAATGGTACATTTGGAGACGAAATATTATTTTCGTCATTAAAAGATACGTATTTTGTGACAAAATTTATTTTTGTCATTAGTTTTCGTCTCTAAAGACTATTTTTTGTTGTAGTGCTTGTTGTTACACTCCTCTTCACATATCCTATCTCTTAAGTGCATCAATCTATGTGTTTCAACATATGCTCAATGATAATGAATATAGTGATTGTCTCATAAGATTGCAAGAGTGATTCTTAGGATTTGATGTTGAAAGAGTTGTGTTCTTCCTTTTTTTATTATTATTATTATTATTTGTTTTTGGAGGTAAAAAAAGAGATTTTGAGTCAAAGAGTATTGAAATCTCCCTTCTCAATCATTCGTGAACATAGAAAATGGTGGAAACATCTCTATGAATTGATGAAGATTTTTCAATAGCATTGATGAATCTATTGTTTTAAAATCAAAGCTTTCAAGTAGAAATGATTTGCATTAATCTATGCTCTCCACTTAATAGCATGGATTTGGGTATTAATTTGCCCTTATTCACAAAGAGAAGATGTAGGTTCCTAGCCATTTCTTGGGTTGAAATTTGTTCTTAATTTGATCCATTTAATTTGTTCATTTTTAACAAAATATTTGTTGTACATATCTGTTTATATCATTGTTGAAGGTTGTAGCCCATCTACCTCTTCCTTAAGCAGTTTCTATAGATGGAAGAGGTAGAAGGGATAACACCTTAGAAAATGTCTGTGACTTTTGTTCTAGAACCCCTACATAAATCTAGTTTCTGCCTGAAAGAGAGGTTCAGCCAATCTATTTTGTGGTCAATTGGCTGCCGTTATGTATAAGCGGCCAAGTTCTCCAATAATAGAGCAGACAGCTTCTGGAGGGTGGTCTCCTAGGTAGTTCTGGAGGTACTAGTCGATTTATTTTATCTATTTAGCATTATTGGTTAGATTCAGTAGTAAATTGGCTAGATTAATTCAATGTTGTAATAATTTCTTCAATCCTCCTTTCTCTTCTTTTATCATTCATTCATTCGATGTAATAATTTCTCTTTCTCCCCTTTCTTATTCTAATTGATGTAATAATCTCCCAATCCCACGACCTTTTAACCCTTTTATTATATGCTTTCGGTATTACATCATATTTTATTTATCATATGTAATATCGCATCCATTTTCCATGAATCCGGGTCTGGTTCATCCGCATTTGTGGCATTTATTATTTTCAAGCTGAATATATGTGTTGTTCCATGTCTTGAGAAGATATCCGTGTCATATCTTATAATTTTTTAACCAAACAACATGCTCCTTCCAAACCATGGTAGATAGATTAAACGTAGTACAAAAGAGAGATTAAAAGGCCTAACCACAGAGAGGTAATCTCTAGGCTTAGACCCTATAAGTAGCCAAGATCCTAGAGGTCACCCTTAGGTGATTATTATATAGTAGAGCTAGTCAATCATGTAACAGTAGGCGTGTGTGCAGTGTGGCTTGAGTGGTTTGAGAGTAAAATTATAAATCAAATGGCGGATTAGTGAATTGGCAAATTGCTGTTTAAGTTGTTTGGGATGGATTGACAGATTGAAGAATATTCTAACAAATTATCATGTCTTTGCATAATATATAATACTAATTAGTATAATATTTTTCATATATAAAACACAAACTAATTTTATATAACATTTTTCATATATATAACTACTAATTTATAATAAATTTTACATATTAAATTTTTCCTACACTCATTTTTATTTTAATATTTCATTCAGTGGTGCTAGGGACCCCCAGTGGGGGCACCCCCAGCACTCCCACTAGGCCAAAAACATTTTTTTTCCCTTTCCTTCCAATCACGCGGTGCCACGTGGCACTGGGAGTCATTGGGGGTCACTGGGGGTGGGGGTCTCAAGCTTTATTCTATTTCATTATAGGTTAAAAAATATACATATATTAACTATAACAGAGTAGAACGATTTCAAAAACGAATTGTAAATTTTAAAATTTAAAATCACAATTAACAAATAAAGTGACACAAACTAATATGAATCAATACCATTATAATGAATTGAACAATATTTTATATAATAAATCAAAACTCACACCTAACGAGAATTTGAACCAACAGTCCTAATATTTGATACAATATTTTATATAATAATATTATATATATCAATTTATATATTAATTAGTGTATTAACAGATAATATAACATAATTTTAAATATTTATAATTTATATAATAAATAGAATTAATAATAATATTATAATATATATTAATACATTAATTAATATACCAATTAATATATGTAGTAGCACCAATTAATCATACAACAATCATGAAAAGTTTTTCATGAAAATGATCATAAAAGATTTATGACCTTTAGATTACACTTATAATAAACCACCACACACTAATCAAGATAATCTAAAAGTTACAAATATTTCATAATCATTTTCATAAAAAAAATTTCATAATTCCCGCCATTTCTCCTAATCATATATGCTGTGCGCCGTGGCTAGTCCCGAGAGAGTGTGAAACTTGGACTTAACCGATTGATCGATAACATTACTCTTGATGGAAAATACAAGCGCAAGATCGGACCGTGGCTCCACGTGTGACAAAGTTACTGGTGGTTCTGGACCTTGCTCGACTTTTAACCCCGAAACATAGTATATAAACCGTTGCGCTATCGTGTCCAGCCTCACTCCATTGTTATGTAGAGTGCATTAGCCATATAGCTGTGTAAGCTTTTCTTTCGTTTCCGCCCATAGAAGTTTGCGTTTCCCTCTGACTTCATTCCTTCCTTCTCTCTCATTTCTGCAGAGATTCAGGAGCAGGGGTTTCCGGCGAAGCCTAGACATACAGAGGTGAGTTTTAGTGGTAATTTTTTTGTTTTTTTGTGATCAAACTATGCGGATTTTGAAATTGAGAGGTTTCTTTTGAGATTTGTGTTGGTTGATCTTGAGGAGGTGTGTTTACAGGGGACATTGATGCATGTATGAGACCGCGGTTATTCGGTGACCGCCTCTGAATTTTGGCGGAATATTCGTTCGTTGAATTTCGAATTTTGAGTTGTATTATTGTTGTTTGTACTGTATTGTATTGTACTAGGGTTTTTTTTTTTTTTACCATGATCGCTGCAAGTTCAGCTTGTGTTTTACCTGCTCATCGTTCTTTAGCTACTGGTCTGTTTCTTCGGAGGAATTTTAAGCGTTCAAGAGGTGACTATGGAGTTCTATGTTTTCTTCATCATGAAGATTTTGAGTTCTGGTGTGTATGTGTACATCTGCATGAATTTGGTTTTTTTTTTTTTGAAGTTATGTGTCACTTCTGCTGAGTCTACTCTCTAAAGTACCGTAGGCCTTAAATTTTCATCAATTAAAATTTCTAACTCATTTGGCAAGAAAAGTAGTCAAATTTCTCTGTTTGAAAGTTACATATCCTTAGTTTTCTCAGAATTTTTCGATGATCGCAAGGATCTCGTCCATTCAAGCACCAAAATTAACCTATCGCAGTGAATCCCACATCGCTCTGTGCGAATACCACTCTCCACCTAACTAATTTTAACTAGCAACAAAACCATGACGCAATGCCCAAAGCGGACAATATTGTGCTGGTGGTTCCTTCAAACCAGTGAGGGCAGCTATTGAGCTAGGCCAAGCAGACAACACTTCCAGATGGGAGCTAGGCCACACATCTAACAACTCTTGTATCAGGTTTCCCTCTCGCTTTTTGTATTTCGAAAACTCTCAGGAGCCTTGAAAACTCAAGCCGATTAATTTTTTTCAAAATTTCTACCATTTCTCCTTTTTTTTAACTCTGTTAATGGCGGTAAAATTGTGAAAGAAAGAGAAAAACATTGTGAAAATAATAAAACTCTCTCTCTCTCTCTCTATATATATATATATTTGATTAATTGGCCTTTTTACAGTTGTAATCGTGAATATTTTCATGGCCATTTTTGAACTTTTTGGTTCCACTTTTTGTGCATCTTCGCAGCGTTACTCAGCTGTGTCTCTTTTCCTCGCAAACAAATCTGTTTTCTGATTGGTCAATTTTCACCAATCCTCTGTTCCAAAAGAGAATCTCTTTAGGCATGCCATGCCGTCTTTTTTTGTCTTTATTGTAAATTTCTTAAAACCTCACCAACTTTTCATTATTACTAGACACGGCTGTAGATGACCCCATAATTTTCACAAACGCCCAAAAGGTATAGAAGAGATCACAAATGTTTTATGAAATGTATATATGTTTATACATATGTGTATGATAGATTCAATGGAATCTTCAGGTACTTATAGGCATTTGTTTTTACCAGGATGATACAAGCACAACGCAGGATAGGCAGTAAGTCTTTTCATGATGGAGTCATAATCTTATAAAGATGTCATGTGTTATGTAAACAACTTTGATCAGGAAAACTATACCCTTTAGAAAGCTTTTTTTTTTTTCAATTAATGTATTCTTTGTTGCCCGTGTTGTGAGTGATATGATTTTGTATTTGTAGGGTGAAATTGAATAATCAGTGATTGTAAAATTTTTACTTCATTAGCTGGTACAAGTTGCCTTTATGGTTGATTGTATTTCAAATCAGCAATTGAGCTCAGATTTTACTATTAATTAAGCTATGATTTCAACTGTTTCTCTGTTAGATTTTTAGTATATCTGTTTTCTAGTGTCTAATTTGTTCTATTGTTTTGTTGGTGAGCAGTTTATTATCGGCAAGTAGTAGCGTGCACAAAGATGACGGTTACTCCAAAGATCTCCATCAGTGATGGAAACCTCGTGGTTCATGGAAAGACGATACTGACTGGTGTGCCTGATAACATTGTTTTAACTCCAGGATCCGGTGTAGGCCTTTTCGCGGGTGCTTTCATTGGTGCCACAGCCGAACATAGCAAAAGCCTCCATGTCTTCCCTGTGGGTATCTTAGAGTAAGCAATATACATAATCCTAAAGTTACTGTTATCATGTGAAAATAATTTAAAATTTTCTCCCTCAAAATATGACTGCTGTTATCGGGCAAGGATTCTCTCCTTGGTGTCTTTCTGTCTCCCTACTTGCAATGCATTTCAAGATGATCCAATAATCTAGATCTGACTATTTCAATTTGTTTTTTTCCAAAAAAAAAAAACCAAAAACACAATAATATTTCAGAAAGATATTAAAATTTCTATCTGTCTCTGTAACAGGGGTCTCCGATTCATGTGTTGTTTCCGTTTCAAGCTATGGTGGATGACACAGAGAATGGGGACATGCGGAAAGGATATTCCTCTTGAGACGCAAATCATGCTAGTGGAGAGCAAAGACACCACTGAAGGGGAACGTGATGATGCCCCAACCACATACACTGTTTTCCTTCCTCTCCTTGAAGGCCAGTTCCGTGCTGTTCTCCAAGGCAATGAAAAGAATGAACTAGAGATTTGCCTCGAGAGTGGTGAGTAGATCATGGTCATCATAAAGTATATGGTGTAGGTGCACATTTACCTAGGGCATATCTTCCGTTAAACCAGTCCCATCCCGGCAGTCAAATAAAGAAGACTAACCGTCCAAAATGGTGGGGTGGAGCTGTTGTTTATGCGAACACAACCAAGCTGGAGAAATGAATTGAATCACCCTATCATTCAAATGAATCAAATTAATGGAGTTTGTAGAACTTGGGAAAGAAAAGTAGAAACAACCAAGTACGAAAGAAACGAAACGACCTTGTGTTTTTGTGGTGTGATTTGGTTTGCAGGAGATATTGCTGTTGAAACCAACCACGGACTTTACCTTGTCTACATGCATGCTGGCACCAACCCCTTTGAAGTCATCTGCCAGGCTGTAAAGTAAGTATTCCCCTTCCTCCCCCCCAACTACACAGAAATCAAATGTAGGATTTATTTATTTCATGAAAAATCTGAAAGTAGTGATCATCTATTCGCTTTATTGAGAGGTCATCAACAACTATCACGAAATTCTGGAAAGTAATAGACCTTTTGCTTTACATTGTTTACTCATTAGTAATGTTTTTTCATGAAACAGAGCTGTAGAAAAGCACATGCAGACTTTTCATCATCGCGAGGAGAAAAAGGTGAGGAAGTCCCTACTTTTGTTTGTTTTGTCCCTCTGCATCACTTGGATTTATGGCAAACAATAGGGCTATTTTAAATGGATCATGTGATCTTTGTGGTGTTCATCCGTAGTTGCCCTCTTTCATTGACTGGTTTGGCTGGTGCACATGGGATGCTTTTTACACTGATGTCACAGCTGAGGGTGTTCAAGAAGGTCTTAAAAGGTAAATTTAGAAGAAAGTAGCCAATTATTTAGATTTCAACTATAAATGGCTGACTATGTTTTTGGTATAATAATTATTAAAATTTAGAGTACTAAATTATTCTGTAACTGTTATTGCAGCTTGTCAGAGGGAGGTACTCAGCCACGGTTCCTTATCATAGATGATGGTTGGCAACAAATTGGCAACGAAGCTAAGGATTCCAATTGTGTTGTTCAAGAAGGAGCACAGTAAGATACCTTTCATTTTCTTTCTTTCCTTGTATCTGGTTACATTGTGGTGTGTGTTGATTTGGTATTAGTTCTGTTTTCTAGAGATTTAGAGAAGTATACTAGTGTGAATGTTCAAAATGTAGAAACAAAGGGGGGAGGATCATGAGTATGTTTCATGTGGGAGTGTGTACCATATTACCAGGACAAGCTGGTTAGATGAGTGTTTTTTTTTTCTTTTTTTGTCCTGTTTATCAAAGATAGGAAAAGAAGGGTATGATAAGTAGAACATGCTCAACTTTTGCCATTTCTAAAGCATTGAAATTGGGAACAAGACTCTGAATTATCGATGCCATTTCTCCAATTGTGTTGTACAGCAATTTGAAAAAACACTGCACACATGATGGACACATGCAAAATATATAATTTTATTTATTTATTATATGTTATATACAAATATTTCATTTGAAGTTAATAAAAATATACATCACAATACGAATTTTTTAAGTTTTAAAGATGATTATATTGTTTTCCTTTTGACATTTAATCATAAGTTATTTTGTTGAAACTTGTAATCTGTTTCATATTACACGTGTCCCTTAGTGTCGGAATCATGTCCAAGTCTATTTTTTTTCTTTAATAAAATTGATATTTATTTCCTTATTAGTTATCCTAGAGGATGTCTCTTTGTCAAGTGCTTCTAATGATAAAAGATTGTGGACTCTTCATTCTTCTGAGGTTTTATCTTGTGAATCCTTTTTTATAAAATCTGATGATTCAAATGTTTCAATGCTTTTTCCTTGCAAGGTCATTGGGAGTGCTTGTGTGTTCCTCAAAGTTAAAGTGTTTGTGTGGACCTTAGCTCATAAAAAGCTTAATACAGCGATATAGTTCAAAAGAAAATGGCTAAATTGTTCCTTACATACTCATTGGTGTGCAATGTTGTGCTTATGGTAGAGGGTGTTTCGGTTAGCAGATTGGGATTGGGTGGTTGGGGGTATTTGGGTTAAAATTTGCTATTTGGATTTTGGCTTTGACATCTCCTTTTAAGGGATTCTTTTATTTTTTGTTTGAGGGATTGGAGAGCCCCATGTAGCTAGTTATGTTGCTTTTTCCTTCATTCATTTATTTTTGCTTGGTGGACATCTTGTTCCCCTTGATTGTACTACTTTTTTCCTTCTTATAGTAATATTTTGTTTGTTGTTGCTGATTAAAAAAGGGAAGTTACATGAGTCTGAGGACTTGCAAAAGTTGGGTGTGTGGATAATTAATCTAGTGTTGGCTTGTATTGACCATTAAAGGTGAATATTTGAACGCTGAATGGCCATAATCTGGCAGAACTTACACACCAAAGACTCTTTGACTGATATTTGTACTGTCCCCGCAATCTTAACACTTTGCATGCAACACACCTGAATTAATGGGTTATTGATTTGTTGCAAAATTGATTTTACAGGTTTGCTAACAGGTTGACGGGAATAAAAGAGAATGAGAAATTCCAAAAGAATGGCAAGAATGACCAGGTGCCAGGCCTGAAAATTGTTGTTGATGAAGCTAAGCAACACCACAATGTGAAGTAAGTTGTCAACTGGGTTTAGTACTTTATGTCGCACTTTGCTGAAGAACATAAAAGTGCAACAAACCTTTTGTTTCATTTATATCTATTTCTGTAAAATGATGACATCATAAAAATTTGTTGATTACTACATTTTTTTATGTTTCATTTTTTACTGGCATAGGTATGTGTATGTATGGCATGCTCTAGCTGGTTACTGGGGTGGGGTAAAGCCAGCAGCTTCTGGTATGGAGCACTTTGACACTGCTTTGGCTTACCCAGTTCAGTCCCCTGGTGTACAAGGCAACCAACCTGACATAGTCATGGACAGCCTTGCTGTGCACGGCCTGGGTTTAGTGCACCCTAAGAAGGTCTTCAATTTCTACAATGAGCTTCATGCCTACTTGGCTTCATGTGGAGTAGATGGAGTCAAGGTTGATGTGCAGAACATTATTGAAACCCTCGGGGCTGGCCACGGTGGCAGAGTTTCTCTTACCCGTGCCTATCATCAAGCACTTGAAGCCTCAATTGCACAGAACTTCCCCGACAATGGATGCATTGCTTGCATGTGTCATAATACTGATGGGATCTATAGCGCCAAGCAGACTGCTGTAGTAAGAGCTTCTGATGACTTCTACCCTCGTGACCCTGCTTCTCACACCATCCACATCTCTTCTGTTGCATACAACTCCCTATTCCTTGGAGAATTTATGCAACCTGATTGGGACATGTTCCATGTAAGTATACTTGCCATAATTTGTTTCAGCTTTACTTTAGTTTTCATTTACGAATTAAAAAACTAGGACATTGATGAATGGATCTTTTCTTTGCAGAGTCTGCATCCAGCTGCAGAGTATCATGCTGCTGCTCGGTCCATTGGAGGATGCCCAATTTATGTCAGGTATTGTCATGCATTGACCTACTTTGGCCCTATTTGCTGTAGCTTATGGCGCTGCTTATAGCACTTTATTTTGAAATTCTGTGCCAGATTTTGGTGCAGGTTCTCCTTATAGCTTAGGAGCCATAAATAGCTTGTGTAATCTAAAAATAGCTGATTATTGGAAAGCAAGGGAAGGGATGTTTTTAGCTTCTGTTTTTTTATTATCAGCTTTCAGCTTGTAAAAGCTGCACCAAACAAACTCTCTGTTTCCTGTCAAAAATTAAATGTGCAACCAGTTGATCTGATGACATTAATATTCTATTGCTGACTGGACAGTGACAAACCTGGAAACCACAACTTTGAGCTTTTAAAGAAGCTTGTCCTTCCTGATGGATCGGTTCTTCGTGCCCAATTACCTGGCAGGCCAACCCGTGACTGCCTTTTTGTCGATCCTGCAAGGGATGGAGTCAGGTTTGTGATTTCAAATACAGCATATACTCCATTTATATTCTCATTATGATTTTGTTACCAAAACTGGATGTAAATGTCATGTTCTTCTGCAGCTTGCTTAAAATTTGGAACGTGAACAAATGCATCGGTGTGGTTGGTGTCTTCAACTGCCAAGGTGCTGGTTGGTGCAAGGTTACAAAGAAGACCCGTATCCACGATGCATCTCCTGGTACCCTCACTGGTTCAGTTCAAGCCACTGATGTTGATGCCCTCGCTCGGGTTGCAGGCCCAGATTGGAATGGGGATACAGTTGTATATGCCTTCAGATCAGGTGACTTTTCTCTTTAAATTTACTTGCATTTCAAAAAGTTTAGCATATTCTTGGTGACATGTTATTGGATTCTTGAATATGAATTGTTAATTTATGAAATAAATCTTCTCAAACTTGGTGTGACTACAATGTACTTAAAAGTCAATGTGTGAATTCCAGGGGAGGTAACTCGATTACCAAAAGGTGCCTCGTTGCCTGTGACGCTCAAAGTTCTTGAATATGAAGTCTTCCATTTCTGTCCGCTGAAGGTGAGTCTCCAAGAGTGGACTTTCTTTGTTTACTATTGATTCTCTGTAAATATTCATTAAACAGCATTAACTCCATGATCTGATAATCTATCATGCAGGAAATCGTGGAGAACATTTCCTTCGCACCAATAGGCTTGTTCAACATGTTCAACACCAGTGGTGCTGTGGAGCAATTTGAAGTCCATTTGCTTTCAGAGAAGAAACCGGATCTCTTTGATGGCGAGGTTTGTTCAGAGCTGTCCACATCTCTGAGTGAGAACCGATCTCCAACTGCGACTATTTCACTCGAAGTGAGAGGATGTGGCCAGTTTGGTGCTTACTCTTCCCAGCTCCCGCTGAAATGCATGGTGGGGGGTGCTGAGACTAACTTTGAGTACGAACCTGCTACTGGGTTAGTGACCCTTAACATTCCAGTTCCGGAAGAGGGGATGTACAGATGGCCTATTGAAATCCAAGTTTAAGTTTTATTAGTAGAAGAGCAAATAATTTAGTACCATTGGGGTTCATTCATGCAATGCATGCATTGATGTGTGATTGTGATTTGGGCAATGCTTTTGTATTTGCGGAGAGGGGAGTGAGGGAATAAATGACAGTATGTATGTATTGGGTTGTATCTCTGGAATAAAGCTACCTGGTTAGTTTCTTTAATAAATGCTAGCTTCTTGTGTCATGTGGACTTGAATTTCATTGTCAAGTTGATAGTGTTTGATTAACCAAAGAGAGGAAAGACCAACACCCTAACTTTTAACCATTTTTACATGAATTACAATAGGAAATATGTATTTGGTTCAATGATTTGGTGAGGGATTTGGAAAATGAAAGGAAAAGGTAGGTGGAATATGAATTATATTTCACACTTCTATTTTCGTTTTCAAATCCCTACCCATATAAACAAAACACAGCCTAAGAGAATACATGAAAGGAAAATTAGAAGACAACCTTGCTTTGTTATTGTAAATACAAATTTTCTAGTTTGGTAATGAAAGACGGCCAAAAAATTTAGTTTTTCTAAATCCAAAGAAAAGTAAGTTTTATACTAGATTACAACTGGTGATTCAATCTCCTTTCCAAATCCAGATTCAAGGGCTATTCAAGCTTGGTCTTGAATCAAATACTTCAGAATGAGTTTTCAAAACCTCTAAAGTTTCGGAGAAAATCAGTTTACGGCTTTGATAAAAAAAATTGGTTATTCCCATAACTTGTTGAATTATCTTGAAGTGAAGAATAAATTCGTACAAATTTCTGAATAGAGAATTAATCTTTGAATGTACAAGACTGTTGAAAATCAAATATTTGAAGAGCTTGTTAGTCTTCTTTAATATATGTAGGAATTTGCAGTAGAGAGAACTTGACAGGTCTTTAGGATGGAGTTTTTGGTGTAGTTTTGTGGAAAACCTTTTTGATGTGTTTCCTTCACCAATTGTAATTATAAGCTTAGATGGGACAAACATTTCGAATCTAGATTGGTTGTAATTAAAGAAAATTCCCATGCAATTTGTAAACAAATTTAAATGTTGAATATAAGTGACACATATCATTGAAGAGAAGGTTTGGTTTTGTTATAGTGGCCATTGATGCATGCTTGGATCTTATTATTGGCATTGGTCCGACTCCTCTATAGTTAACCAGAGTGTAGTTATGAGAAGAGCCATGGGATCCACAAATGTATTCTCTAGTTTACTGGAGAGAAGCGAATGTCAAGATTCAATTATGCATGGTCTCACAAATTCACGAATGAAACTTTATAAACTAAACTTCATAAAAGAGATTCAACAGATTAATTTTCACCAGAAGTCCTTACAAGAACAAGATCCATCAACAAATTTGTGGAACAGAACTTGGTCCCTGACAATGATCTCGCGCTCGTATAAATTACTAATGATCTTTGTCCCTTCATGGCAGTCCACACAAACTCTAAGATTCTTGACTACCCTAATTACTGTGGGTGCTTGTGTCTTCAATAACCCATAAGCAATGGCCAGGTATGCTCACAAAGGGCACTTTCTTTCTCTTCATCTCCAACATTGTGCAATACATCTAAAGTCCAAGGTTCATACCCATCACCACATACCCTTTCAGATATATCCTTCAGGACCTCCCTTATCTCCTTTGCCTCTGGATGAGAGCAATCACCCATCACAAACTCATGCATGAAACCATCAATTTCAATGGAGCTGCACCCCGGAACAGCCTTGATTCCTTTATCCTTCATCAATTTCCTCACATGGCTCATTTTTGCCCATTCTGAACCTGATGCATACAAATTGGAAAGAAGTACATAGTTCTCTGCATTGAGAGGTTCTAGTTCAAGAAGCCTACTACCGGCAATTTCACCTTTCTCCATATTTCTATTTTTCTTGCAAGCAACAAGTAATGTGCGCCAAATTACCACATCTGGGGAAATAGGCATGGTTTCGACAAATGTGCAAGCCTCTTCAACAAGGTTAGCTCTGCAAAGTAGATCAACCATGCAACCATAGTGCTCCATTGATGGTACAACCCCGGACTCCAGCATGCTTGACCAGTATTTCTTGCCCTCCAAAACTCTCCCACTATGAGCACAGGCCAATAGGACACCAATGAATGTTACATGATTAGGCTTCACCTGAAAGAAACTTAAATAACATCAATTGTAGTAAGTTGAGAAAAATATAAAACAAATCATTCTTTTTGTGTGCTATTTTCAAAGTTCGCAAGAAAAAAAGAAACAAAGTTATTCCCAAGATTATATTATGTCCAATTCTTTGTCTCTCACTACCTTGGTTTCTTCCATCCTAGAAAAGGCCTCCATTGCATCTTCTGCAAGCCCATGAATCGCCATTCCAACAATCATCGAGCTCCAAGCCTTCGTATCCTTGATCGGCATTTTATCAAAAACTTCTATAGCTTTTTCTATAGAACCGCACTTTGCGTACATATTAACAAGAGAAGTACTAAGTTCAAGATCAGTATTAATCAAATGCTTATCAATATAGGCATGAACCCATCTACCAACATCCAATGCCCCTGATGCAGCACAAGCCGAAATCACACTAACCATAGTCACTTCATCCGGAGCTATACCCACCTTTTGCATTTCCCGAAACAAACCAAAAGCCTCATTAACCATCTTAATTTTTGAATACCCACAAATCATAGTATTCCAAGCAAATAAATTTCTCTCAGGAATTTCATCAAACACCTTCTTGGCCAACACAATGTGTTCACATTTTGCATATAAATTAATCAATGCTGTCTCAACAAAGGGACTAGAACCAAACCCAGATCGCACGACGCGAGAATGAACCTGCTGGCCTTCTTCAAAGGACGACACAACATAACAGGCCTTGAGAACGAAGGCTAGAGTGAAAGTATTGGGTTTTGGAAAGCCTCTCTTGATCAGTTTTTTGAAGAGACAAATGGGTTGTGTTGTTGACGGATATTGAGTGTGGGAATAAGCTCTAATGAGGGAATTCCAAGAGAAGATGTTTGGTGATGGGATTTGAGAGAAGAGCTTTCGGGCGTAGTTGATGTCGCCGTGAGGAGAGAGAGCCGAAAAGCCGACGATTTTGCTGAAAGCGAAGGAAATGGTGGAGATGGGTAGGGGGTGGGTGAGGAGATGGGCGTGGATTTGGTGGAGAATTCGCATGTTTGGACATTTTTGGATCAGAGAAGCAATCCTTTCTTCTTCTTCTTCCAGCTCTTCTGCTGTGACGCTTATCTATATTGATATGTGTTTGTGTATTGCGCTGAACTGAACGTTTGATAAACTAAAAAGATATTGACATGTGTTTGTGTATTGCGCTGAACTGAACGTTTATCTATGTCTATGTGATATTTATAAACCAAAGGACTGGAGGGAAAAAAGTGAATATTCTCCTTCAACTACTTGACACAAAACGGTTTAAATTATTGTGTGAGATTACTTTATCTTATTCAACTAAAAATGATACTCCTTCGGTGCCACATTGTTGATCCATTTCATCATATTTTTCATCTCTCAAAATGGTTGTTTATTTTGAAAACTCAAAATATAAAATTTTATGTTCTTCTAAAATTATCCTTTAAAAATAATTATAAATATATTTAATAAAAGAAATGAAGGGGTAATATGGTAAATTAATATACTTTGATTTGATTTTAAAATGATGATTACATATTCCCTTAAAAAATTGAAATTTTTAAAAGGGATTAACATTGTGGAATGGAGGGAGTAACATTTATATGTAATTGGGGCTGCTGCTGTGCATGATGCGCAGCAGGAACTGTTGCACACCTTATTAGGTCCATTTCAGGACTTAATTTGATAATTTAAACCGTTCACATTTTAGAAGGTATCGCGTAAAAAAATACCTATAAAAATCCACATCGATCAGATATCGTTATCTCTTTGATTTGTATTGAGTTTTATATTTCAAATTATATATATATATATATTTTTAAATACAATTGTGATTTGATAAAAGAGCCAACGATATTCGATTGACGTGATTTTTAACTAGTATATTCTATTCGATATCTTCTAAAATGTGATAGTTCAAATTATCAAAATTAGTCCCTAAAATGGGCCCAATAAGGCGCGCAACAGTTGCTGCTGCGCACCATGCACAGCAACAACCCCAAACTCCCATTTATCTTTTAATTTTTTTTCCAATATAGGGATAATTCTATTTACACACCACTATTTCACTTAGTTCATATCATTCCCTTTTATTTTATTAATTACCATTATCTCTTTCAGCCAAATTACTTTTTTGGACAAATACAAAATTCTTAATACACATCATTCACCCTACCAGCAACCATTAGCCCCCGTTACCGTCGTAGTTTCCATGAACAACCACCCTTTCTTAGATTTATCGCCTCGCCACCCGTTTTCCAACCTCGTCGCCGCCTCACCAACCCCCAACTACCATCGTGATCCTTCACCACCATCACCCCTACCCATTGCATCCAATCGTGATCCAACCCAAACCTTAAATGATGCATTGAAGAAGCAGACAAAAGCAGAGGCGAGACGAAGAAGAAGAAGCAAAGAAGAAAAAGAAAGATTGCAAGGGTCATAATGACGTGATCACAATCACAATTGCTCAAGACTATGAAAGATAGGAAACCCGACGGTGAGATAAAGACGGTAACAACAATGGTGAGAGGAGCTACGAGGATAGGGGGAATGATGTCAATTGTTGATCTCCACAGTGGCTAGGTTAAGGTTAGGGTTTGGAAGAGGTCGAAGAAGAAAAGGGTATTTTGGTATTATTTAAAAATAGATGGCATGTGTTGAGAAAAATTAAAAAATCTAAATTGAGTGTGGTGTGAACTGAGAGAATTGTGAGATTATGGCATGTATTGGGATAATGTTTGGTGTGCAAATAGAATTTCCTTTAATCTAGACATTTATAACCAATTGAGTAGGACATTTATTATGGCCCTAGGGTTGAGATTGCCAATGAAGAGCTCCTTTGGGATCAAGTTTGGGATCAAGATAGAAGCCCACATTTTTTTTTTTTTTTTACATTTTTTGGGCAGGCCTGGAACAGGTCATATCAGTCAAAAAAACCCTCAACCATGCTGGCCCCACATTAGCATCGAAGGGGTAAAAGAATGAAGGACGAATGGAGGCTGGCAAGTTATGGAAGTAAGAAAAATAATAGACAAAACTAGAAGGATACAAAGAGACTCTGGCATACT